TCAGAGAGAGTTATTTTACTCATATCAATACAATTGCATTGAAAAACAAATAACATACCTAAAGACATACTTCAGTGTTCTGACAGACGTTCGATAAATTGCTGCACATTGTGGATTCTCTTATAACATTTTCGAAAAAGACAATCAAATAATTGTTCTCCATCGTTTATGTACTTGGGAAATCATTTTGCGACTAATTGTAACTCGACTTTGACTGCCAATAAAAAACTGTTGAAGGTAAATCCTCCGCTAACGCCGGTCACTGGTGACCCCCATGGCGTTTAACGTGTTAAGAACACACGATACTAGTAGAGGCTTTATTTGAGACAGCGTTAAGTTAGTAATAATTTATGATATAGATATTTATTAAATTATTTCTAAGATTATTACGAATGTATACTTAGTGAATGGTAATAGAGAAACTATTTTATTTATCAGACAAAATAAGTTATCATAAATTAATATTGAATTCTGGAGGTTGTTGATTTGTATTGCATTAAATGTCTTAGTGGTTCATTAGTCACCTCCAACCGCTACCGGCCGCCATACTCGCCATGATCGAGAGGAAGAGAAGGCTACGACCCATTTTACTGAAACTCTACAATACTACATAAATACATTTATAGTTTGAGACTCGAGAAAGGATATAGAATAGTTTTTATTCCGAAAATCTCACAGGAATGGGAACAGTACGGGTAAAACTGACTACACTGCGTGTCAGATAAATCTTGACGCAGATTAGGGTGAAATATATATTACAACTTTTTGTAATAAACATCCTACGGAATCGAGACCAATGGGTGTAAAACTTAGAACTGTAATTGTATGTAATTCGAACCACGTAATCTTTTACAGTCTAGGAATAAAGTAAACTAAAGTACTGACTTGATTGAAATTTAATATCATATTTAGAAATAGGTCTTGGAAAAGGAGTCAAGTCAAAACATCTTAATTCGGCCTGATGTTATTAATGTGCGGACGAAGTCGCGGGAATAAGCTAGTAGCTTATTCCCGCGACTAATGCGTATTCATTATGTGGGGAGTACTGTGACAACCACATTCTTTTAAAGCATTAAGTTTTTTTTTATAAGTGAAGACTTGTCATTGGCTGTCTGATACACACAATTTGTTTTCTTAGCTGTTAGTCTTCCAAACATGTTAAAAAAATAAAAATGAAGTATAATTTATTCAAACAAGTACCTATCTAATGAATGGTAAGCCTGGGAACTTACACTACTTTAATGTCCTAATACATTTAGGTACTGTAGCAATTATAATATAAACTATTTATTCAAAGATACATTTTAGTTTTTTTTTATTATTGTTTATAAGATATAAAGTGGTTTTTTGACATGAAGATAATAAATGTGTGATAATGTATGTAATATCTTTTTATTTATTTATTATGTTAACCAACAGTTATATACAATAAATTAGGTTTAATAATAAAACATTGAGTTCAAATTAGATTACAAGAAATACTAAAATAATATAAGAACTAAGTAATATTATAAATACCAATAACTAAAATATTTGCACCTTGCAATAAAAACCTTAGCTTAAGGCATCAAAAAATATTTCCTCATCGCTATTGTGAGATAGGATGCCCGGAAAACTGGCAGCATTGCCACGTTAAATGGCAATGCTTTACCTTTGCCCAAGGTAGCCAGCCAGCCAGCCTTTCGATAACCATTCTTCTAATAATATCTTTGTAAAGTAGATGTGCACTTGAGCCCCACGACCCTAAAGTTTCAACCACAAACGGTTCGAAAGCATAATTGCCAATCATGCTATTATACTTTCGCCGATTGAGGTTCTCGACAGCAGTAGCGGCAGCACCGGCTCGGTGCGCTGAGAAGATGGGATGGCGCCAGAGTATCAACGCAAGTGGCGTCCCATACTAAAGACCTAGACCATCTTCCAAAGTAATAATGACATGCGGTCGGGTCTCTTGCCATCGTCGTGTACCAAACCGTTAGGTTTTAAAGACGTGGCACGCCAGCAGAGATAAGAGCTCGGCCAATTATGTCAATAATACTTGCGTATCGAGCAAAACGGCCGGCAATACGGCTACACGACAGGCCGTGATGTCCAATGCTGTTAAAATCTTCACTACAACGACAACGATGAGGTGAGCAAAATGAAAATAAGAAGTTACAATTGTTAAAAAAATTGCAGCGCGAGATGTGGTGTTGTCCCACAGGCCACCCACAGCCAAAAGGCGAGCTCGCTCTGCACTTCCTTAGAAGAGGTAGGGAGTTTAACGCGTAGTTCCAGTTGCCGTTGGGTTTTTGGGTTAAAACCTGTCTAATTCTCTTCTCGGTCTCAAACCACCATTGTACGAGATTTTAGTCAAATAAGTTTAATAGATTGAAATAAATTTAATGTAATCTACCAGACGGACATTAAAATAAAAGTTAGGCATCTACCCTATAACAGCCTTGACTGAAAGTAAATATTCTAACCTTCTAAGTAAAACAGAAGAGCCTTCATAAATTGATAAAAAATAATTAATGGGTTAAAATTTCAAACTTACTTGCAATAAAGTCGATATTGTATTCAAGAATTTTGACAGTTCTATGTTACTATTTATTTGATTCATTTTATTAAAAAACTGTAACCAGTTTTTTATTTTATTCATAACTGGGTAATAAAAGTCTGACATAATGTCTAATATAGACTCAGTTCAGAAAATAATATGAATAAATTAATACAGGGTGTCACTGAAGTCGACGATCAAATGGCACCAGGTGGTTGGCAGGGTGTCAACAGTTACCATAAAAATATTAACAAAAGTCATATAGTTTTTAAATTACAATGACTAATGTGCAATCCACGAAAAATTACACCCTGTGCGAGTCTTTTGACTCAAGACTGGCACAGGGTGAAGACAAAGCCATGAAGTAATATAGTTTCATATGCTAGGTAAAAACTTTAATAAACTAATTTTAATAACTTCAAACTAATTTTTAGTTAGCCATACCATTTCAACCAATAAAAATTGATAAAACATCGATATTAAAGCAGTTGATGCTTGAAGTATGAGATATATTAATAAAGTTACCTAAGTCCATGCTAGCTGAAACTTTACTAACATCAATACCTCAAAGCGGTTGCACTTGAACTGAAAAAATACATAACGGTACATCAGTATATTCCCCGAATTATAATTTGAGTAACAAATAAGATTTATTGAATCATATAATTAAAAATGAAATAAACAAACGAGCATTTTAATGATAAGGGCCGTTGTGAAGCAAAATGTTATGATTTTGGCATAGTCCCGTTCCAGAATCAAGAAAATAATGACTAGAATGAATCTTAACATTACTGGAAAAAAGAAAAAGGAAAAGATTATGTTACTTTTCACCAATGGAGACATTACAGATATTTGACAGCAAACAGATACTCAAGTAAATTGCTATGACATACCGACAAGGGGATTATCAGGAAACAGGCACATTTTCTCATAGTCTGACGGATCATAAGCGAAAGTGCCGTTAGCTATAAAATTAGTTGGTTCCTCATCTTTCGAGCCAATAGACTTGATGATGGCGTGCACTAATAGTTGATCAAAGAATGTCACTCTTATGGCCAAATACTTAGGCTCGAGGTCTGATGTTCGAAGGCTCTTTATTTTCAAGTACAACGTGTCATTTGGTGGTGCTGGTGCCTCAAGATCTTTATATATCATTTGTAGCCTGTGCTGGGACAGAATAGACGCCGTCCTTGACTGAAAAATCAATGATAAATAATACATAATAATATTCAATTTACGCAATATTAGCTGTTATCAACAATTTTGAACGCGTGACCAAAGGAAAAATTGTAGTCTTGACAAAATTCGCAAGTTTAAGATAATCATATATCATCGTTTTCAATTCTGTTACTTAATATACTCAACAATAAATTATGTCTAATATAAAACAGTTTACACAATATAGTGAAGAGGTAGAAGTAGCAGAAAGGGGTACCAAGAAACTATGATATGAGTAAGAGAATTTGCTCGGACAAGCCGTGGTGTCTGCGTCGAAATCGGCGCTTGAACGCCTACATGTTTGTCTTCGAAGTCAATCCGTGCCGTTTTGTGGAAATGAACTACCATAAAATAAGCGTCACTACTGAATCTGTTTGATACGTACTTCACATATTGATTTTTTCGGCTGACTCTGATTTATCTTGGTAGATTTTTTATTTAAGTTCTTTTTTTCTTCACTTTTCTTTTGTAATTAGTTCGTTTTTTCAATCATAAAAGAAAATAATTCAGAAATATTTTATAACATTTTACGTCATACATTGATGAATTTTATCATCATAACAGCTAGTTTTAGGTATTTTGATATTATTTGTCAGACATATCATTGTTTTTATTTACTTGTATAATTGTTATAGGATCGTATGAAATATTGTGAAATAGTGTGAGTGTATAATTAGCTCTGGATTTTTCTCTATTACTTTTGAACTCCAGCTCTGAGCCTTAATCAGATTTGGCTGAAAGTTAGTATTTACATAAAGCGGCTGGTATTTATTTGCTCTCTACGACATACTAAGGGTCACACATTATGTATGTATTCGTTTGTGTAAATAAAAATAAATCATTATAAAATAATATTTATTTATTACATTAAACTGTCAAACACCAAGCGGTCACCGGTGACCGCGACTTATTGTTCTTTAATTGTGTCTATAAAACCGGTACTCGACGAGTTAATTATCAAACTTTATAAAACGGAATAAAATAGTTGTTCATTGGATAATTGGCAAATAAACATTTAAGTAAGAATACAAAAATATCGCAAATACAGCAGGCCTTGCAAATTAAATAGATTTATACAATTTTCAATATGTCAAAGTTAGAATTCATTAGTCACAAACATAATAAATAATATTATATAAACCATTTTATTTTCCTGAATCACCAAACACAAGTACAAAGAATTACAAATTATTGTTTGGTTTGGCTTCTATATGAACCATTGCAGAAACATTACACTTACTAATGCCCGACGGAGGTAAACGCTTTGTGCCATTACTAAGAATTGTCTAAAATGCGAAAAATCCCTTTCCCTAAAATTCTGAGGCCGGCTTGCGAGCGTGTACGACTATCGTCCGATATTTAAAGTTCACACTTGCCTCATCGGTATTATACTTGGACACAATTTTCATATCTTTTAAAATTTTTAAATAATCTTGCTTGAAATCTTCTTCCATATCCTTCGGGATGTTGAATGGGTTGACTGCATGAAGCATTTCTGCAAAATGAACAATAAAGTAACGTTATAGTAAGAGGTTTGTGGGGAACTATATCTGGACGGCAATGTATTGATGACGTAGAGACTGTAATACATGTCACATCGGTCGATATAAACTAAATTATTGTTGTACAGAGAACCCATAAAAGAGTGTATTTATGTTGGGGCGTAGTTTGTTTTCATTGGTGGTCAATCAGGATAATAGGATAATACACTTTTTAATTACCTAAAGGTATTCGTTTACTTGTTAAATTTCTTGTACTTTTGTTTTTGTACGACAATAATTTCAATAATCAGATAGCTTCAAAATATTGATGATTGCTTCAAAACATTATACAATTAGATTATCATCTGATTAAATAATGAAATGATTTGTAATAAAATCAGATCACATCAGATTAAATCATAAAAATATGACCAAATTAAATCATAAAATTTAGATCAGATTACAGATTATTACAGAAACCGCTGCAACTCCTGTAAGCCAGGATCTACAGTAGATACAACCATTAAAACACCAAAACACTGAAGTCCGGCGCGTCACAGGGACATGAGTAACTGTCTTGGTTCCCGCAACGAAGTGAATCAGAAGATATTATAAGAGGAGAAGAAGAAAAAACTATAGTTTCCACTTCCCTCGGTGAATTACTGCAGGAGACAAAATGAATCAAGCCTAAAGGCAGAAAGAAGAGACTGTACAACTGGGTGAATCCCAGTCGCCAAGCACTACGGAAATTTGACTAAAAACTAAGTGGGTCCTATGTGTGAGCTTGCTTCCAATAATAGGTATGGCAAAAACGCCTAAACGCACGGAAATTCGTTCTAGATTCCATAAGATCCGTATAATAAGCTACACCTGACGAAACAATTAAATTATTTAACATAGTGTTACGTTCATATTGTTAGAGATCACACTCCCAGAGTATGTGATGGGCCGACTGCTCGTATTGCAACTCCTCTGACGAACACTGGCACTATGGTGAATCAACAAGTTTGAATGAGAACAATTTGCTTTTAAAGTTGCCGTGGCCAGTAAGAAATTGGGCAACACAGTGATCCACCTCCAACCATGTCCTCTCCAGCCACTCATGCACAGATCGGAAGAACTGATATAGGTGGCGGCCCTTAATAGATGATGCCCATCTACATTGCCATTCAGTTATAAGCTCATCTCAGACGTCCGTTATTGGCTTGAACAATCTAGCAATTTTATTTCTATCACGTTGTACTAGACAAATTAGGTCTCGCACTGTACTACATACCAGCACGTCGCTGCACCTCAAGATCTACTGGAAGTACGCCCGCGAGCACAGGTAGGGCCTTAGTGCTAACCGTCCTATAAGTCTTACACAGGAAAAGCAAGGCTAGACGCTGACTTTGGAGAAGTTTTCGCCATACTGCGGCTATTGTGGCCCTATCAGCCCAGACAGGTGCCCCGTAGCACACGCATCCCAGGTAGGTTGCTCCGTATATGATCCTGAGCGTAAGAAAAGAGAAACCCCAGGTGGCTTTTGAAATTCGCGTCAGCGCATAGAATAGACCGAGATAGCAAACAGACTCCTTTTGTTTTACGGAAACGTTGTTAATTTTAATAGACGGCCACGACTTTAGATTTCCTTTAAGCAATAGTTGGTAAGTTTTATAGGGTGCAAAAGTCAAGCGATTTCGTTCGCCCCATTGCGAGATCCTACCAAGACAGTCTTTGGCCAAATTCTCCAGTCCGGCGCGGGAGTAAGTACACAAGTGTGGAATTTTAATTTTTGGGGCAATTTTTGGTTTGCCTGTCAATTCCATCATTCGATTTACATTTCCCACTAGTATTTTGGACTACCCAATGAAAATAATTAGGTAGACTAATGGTTTTTTCATTTGTTACTAAGTGATTTTCCGTTAATGTACATAATTATTTTAATGGCAATAGGAAACTAGAGAACCAATTTCATTATGATCTTAGGGCCAAAATAGCATTAACTAAATTTCAACAAATAAAATCAGCACTAACTCCAGAAACTGCCGAAGTTGTTGTACGTATACATCATGTTTTTGTATTCCACCTTGTAGTCCACGTACCCAACTTTTTCCAATACTTTCCTCATTTCTTTCGCTGGATCCTGAAAATAGAAATATATATATTAATGGTTCAATTAATAGGTAAAGACAAGTAATTTCTTTTTGATAAAAAATATTCTCGAAAAAACACTGGACATAAAGGAATTCAAACGTTATGCTATAGTAAGTGTGAACTAAATTGTGAGACTGAGACTTTGTTTGGGCACACACTTGTGCACTATAATATCTCCTGCGTAGTGGGCTAGTCTAACTATTTATACTTACCAGTGACCACCATGGTCGAAAATCTGTTAAAACGCTTTATAATGTCTCCAAACGAAAATAATAAATATTTAAAACGAAAAATTGAGCAGACTTAGGGAACATTTTATGAGTAACTATCGAATTATGACGACAGAGTATTCATAGTTAAATATTATTTAAAACGTCCATAAGCCTGATGATATTCATGAATCAGACTATTAAGTATTTGACCAAGTGTCGTCCAAGGAAAAGTTTCAAAAACAAATGTAACTAGTTTGTACGTTTTCATAATTACATGCAAACATATTTCACTTGATTTTCATAAATAATAACAATACATTTCTATTTTATTCCATAAAAGATGGATGAAACGGCTTCTGTCTACCACAATTTTTAGCCCGTACCATATTCATAGACATACAAGGTTGCCAGTTAGGTGACTTAATACTAACAAAAAAACTGAGACTAGTACCTGTGAGTCGTGGTATGGCGATATGTATTTCTCGACGTCTTTAAGCAGAGTGCTCCATTTGTTGTTACGCGATAAAATGCGGTACCAGTCATACAGGGGTGCGCTTGCGGCTAATATCGTGAAGCATTCTCCATCTTTACTCAGCAAATCGTAAATATTTCTGAATACGCGCCTGAAACAGTAAAAATGTAATGTTAATCACATGAGTAACTTCTGAGACTTGATTTGCAATTCAGTATAGAGGCTGCTGGGGCATGATAATGGTTACAGTCGTAACTGATCTCAAGATCAATAAGGGATCTCATATTTACTCACTCAAAACGATGAAAATACTTTTCATTTTCCAAAAGTCTTATCTATCTAAAACAATGTGACTTAACATAATTTTCAAAAAGTGAAGTTCAATATAATAAATGTGATTGAATACATTTGCCCGACCTCCCGATTAAGAGGCAGTTTTAGACTTAATTAGAAGTGTGAAGTTGCATATTTAATAATTTGGCGTAGCGGCCGATACGCTAAGCCAATGTGCGAAAATGTGTGTACGTTCAGAATATGAGGTACGCGTGTTACAGTCCTATTTTATTAGAACACCACGGGCACACGAGCAGTCTTGCAACCCTGGTAAGCATCTACAGTGAGAGAACACACTAACACTGTTTTTATCGCTAACAACCAGTTGGTTGGAAGAAATCAGGTTGAAATACAACTTAAAAAAAATCTGGTATACGGTGGCAAACGAGCAGACAGATCACTTGATGGGAAACAATCGGCGGCGGCGTTGCTCATGGTTATTTGTAACACTATAGTAAGTGCGTTGATGGCCTTTTGAGGATTTAGGTATTTTCAGTAATTCAGACGACCATGTGGTTCTAATGGATTTTTTTTAAGGGGGGAAAATCATCGAATGACTGCTCCCGCCTGGGTGAGGCGGGAGGGAGTGTCAGACTCTTACTGACTATAAACCACTCCGTTCCTTCTCCTGCACGTCGAGCCGGAGCCCCGGTAACCCGTTAAGTTCTCCGCGACGTTCTATTGGAATAGGACTCTTATAGCCACAAACATACGCATGAATGTTCTATATGTAGGTACATATAGAATTAAATAGTTTCATACCAATTGTAATTGAAAGAATTTCAATTAAATTTTTCTTAATTGAATTAATAATTGCAATAGCATTTATATTTATATATTCTGCACCAAAACATCACTGGTCTCTTGAACAAATCTGATGCATTAACCATAATGTTTGGAAGAACTTACTGAGAAAAATATACAAGTAGAAATAATATGCATCACTGAGCACTTTATTATGGACGCCTACGAAAACCACTTAGTAATTCCAAACTACACACTAGCAGCGATCTATGGTACGGGCCACTGCAAACGTAGAGGTGCCTGCATTCTCGTCAAAAATGGGACTCAGTGGAAGGAGTTACCAGAAATAAAAAGTCTTTCAATTTCAGGTCTGTACGAGTGTTGCTCAATAGGACTTACTAGTTATGGTATGGTTATTGTATGTGTTTACAGGGTGCCCAAACCAGAGAATTTAAATACATTTTTCAGTAAACTAGACACTACATTACAACGATTAAATAAAAAATCTTGTAAACATTGTATAATCGCGGGTGATTTTAACATTGACTTATTAAAAAAAAAACAGTGTAACATGTGATTTTGAGAACTTCGTACAATATGACTTTAGCTGTAAAAGAACCCACAAGATTGATAAAACTTGTAACGATAGTTTTGCTCACAATTTCAAAAAACAATGTAAGACGGAAGTGCTATCATTGGCTTTGTCAGATCATACGGCGCAGCTGATGATGTTCCCTGTTAGGAGGATACCTGTAATTAAGAAATGGAGAAAACGAACTCGTGATTTTTGTAATGAAAACATAGTAACATATATGAAATGTCTTAATAATTACTCATTCTCTAAAGTAAATGTAGAAACTGACCTCAACAGGGCATACGATTTCTTTATATTGCGAACATTTCGAACTTTTTTACAATCTTTGATTTCCATTCAAAACTATCACTGTGCATGTAAATAAAAAACAAGAATTGATATCTCGTGGAATAAAGAAATGAAGTGTCAGAAAGCGACAGCTATTATGGAATTATAGTTTAAAACCAATTAAAACCATCAATTAAAACAAAAAAAACATGTTTATTACATACTCTAAATTACTTAAAAAAATAATGTAAAGCGTGCCAGATTGTGGCAGATAATAAATGATTTAAGATTAAATATCCCAATTGAAATTAAAAGTAAAATTAAAGTGAGCAATAATACAATTTCTGATCCCAACGTTATGGCCAATACCTTTAATAATTACTTTGTTGATAAAATAGTACACATATCCGGTCGTGGCAAAAAAGTAACATCACGGATTGCAAGCACGATTAATTCTATTTTTATGTCTCCATGTGTATCAAAAGACATACACTAAATTATTTCCGAGCTGATCTGATGATGGAGCCGATAGGCAGTCGAGGGAACTCCTCAACGGTTAACAGTAGCTACATTGTGTTTGGGTTTGATTGATTTGTATTGATGAGGACTTTATACCTAGGTGGTATGTGATTGCCAATAAGGGTCTGATGATGAAGTACTATCATAGTTGAGGGAACTCCTCAACGGTTAACAGGGGCTACATTGTGTTTGGGTTTGATTAATTTGTATTGATGAGGACTTTATACCTAGGTGGTATGTGATTGCCAATAAGGGTCTGATGATGAAGTACTACCATAGTTGAGGGAACTCCTTGACGGTTAACAGTAGCTATCTTGTGTTTGGGTTTTATTAATTTATATTGATGAGGACTTTATACCTAGGTAGTATGTGATTGCCAATAAGGATCTTATTATGCAGTAGTACCATAGTTGAGGAAACTCCTCAGCGGTTACCAGTAGCTATCTTGTGTTTGCGTTTGATTAATTTAAAATGATGAGGACTTAATACCTAGGTGGTATGTGATTGCCAATGGGTCTGATGATGAAGTAGTACGATAGTTGAGGGAACTCCTCAACGGTTAACAGTAAGCAATCTTGTGTTTGGGTTTGATTCATTTGTATTGATGAGAACTTTACTCCTAGGTGTGGTGTGGTTGTCACTAAATGTCCAATGATGAAGAAGTATGATAGCTAAGAGAACAATGGTTAACAGTAGCTACCTGGTGTTTGAGCTTGAATAATATGTATTGATGAAAACTTTGCATCGATGTGGATTTTACATAATATAGTATATTCTAGTACTTATAGCGCGCATTAGTAATACTAACGTATCGTTGCACACTCCATCTCTAACTCGACGCTCGGCACGAGTCCGCGCCCGCGCCGCAACTCTAGTCAGTGACGCGAAAACTATTAAACCGATAGAACGCGCGGTCACTGGGTGGCGGACCTGGACGGCTTGGTGACCATCATCTCGTCAGCCGCCGCCGGTACCCCGACTCTTAAGGCTATTCAAAGAGGCCGGGGTTGTGTCGCAGCACGGTTCGGCGAGCTCGCTGTGGTGGGCGTGTACTTCTCTCCAAACCGAACTCTCGCCGAGTTCCACAACTCCTTGAGGGAGTTGGTCACCGTCGTCGTCGTGTTCCGTTCCCTCCCCGTGCTCGTCCTCGGGGGGGCTCGTTTACGAGGGATACAGGGCGGCCAAGGCCGTCCTCAAGGCGGAGATATTGCGGGCCAAGGAGGAGGCCCGCTGAGAGATGCAGGGGACTCTAAATAGAAACCCGTGGGGCGCCCGTACCGGATGGTGCGCGATAAGCTCCGCGCCTGGGCTCCCCCGCTAACTCAGAGTCTCCGGCCAGAAGTCTTGGAGGAGGTGACTGGCGCCCTGTTCCCTTGACTGTGGAGGGGCTTAACCCCTCCGCCCCCTGCCGTGCCCGACGCGGGCTATAGACGACGACAGAGGTGACCGAGGCAGAACTGAGAGCGGCGGTGCGCCGGATAGGCGCCAAGAACACCGCCCCAGGACCCGACGGTTTGCATGGCAAGGTAAGGGTCCTGCCCTCAGAGGCTCTCGAGCCTCGATTAATCGGTCTCTACAGCGCATGCTTGGAGAGAGGCCAGTTCCCGCTGCTCTGGAAAGCGGGCAAACTGGTTCTCGAGCGGAAGACATGCTAGCTAAGGAGGAGGCGGGACGTTTGAGGCAGCGAAGCGCTGCCTCCTCGCAACCCAGCCATCGCGAAGGACACACTGGGCGTCGGGGATCGCGAGACGATCTCCGGCCACCGTAAGCGCGGGCCTGCAGACGGCGAGCATGGGTGGCTCATCGTCCGACCAGAAACAGACCCGAGCGTACGGCGCGTTGCGTTCCGCGCGCGCCTCAAAGAGCAATCGGACCATCACGAATGGGGCCCAACAGGGCTGATGCCGATTCGGAGTCGCGGAGAACCTAACGGGTAACCGGGGCTCGACGTGCAGGAGAAGGAACGGGGTGGTTTATAGTCAGTAAGAGTCTGACACTCCCTCCCGCCTCCGCGCCGCCTCCCTCCCGCCGCCAAATCAGTTCTAACATGAAATAAAAAAACCACAACATAAGATAAATTTCGAAATACCTACATTAAAGAGATTTTAGAGAAAATAATTTAACAATATCACTTACTCTTGATCCAAGACCCAGTGCAAGGCGTAGAAGGAGAAAACATGGTCAAATTTTCCCTTCATGCCTTCGGGTATATCTCCTGTGATGTCCAGCACTGTGAACGAGGTCTGTTCATTGGAATGATGTTCATTGGCGAAATTCACCATATTCTCACTGAGATCACAGCCGAGCAGCTTGAAGTCAGTAGGGATATACTTCTTCAGCATGCTGGTGACACCTCCATCTCCACATCCAATGTCTAGAATGTTGCTGATACTCTTATTCCACTTTAGTTTAGGGGAGATGTCGTCTAAAAAGTTGAGTGCATCCCTCTTCTGCATGCTGTTAGCTTGTACGTACAAAGTGGGGTTATTCATGGTTGATTTTTTGAAGATTTTCAGTTAACTCGAAACGATTTTTTGTATTGTTTTTTTCGGGTGCGCGTACGCGTGGTTGAGTGGAGCGCGGTTTCGGCGGACAGCCGCTACTGAAGCGAGGCAGTGCGCATTTATACGTGTCTCGATGGCATCTCACCGTCATATTTTTATTATTGACAATTAATATTAATCATTATTTAAATGTCACGTTAAAGTTTTAAATACTTTATAATTATGTTTCAATCTTAAGTAAGTAATACCTAATAGGTACTAATAATTTACATTATTTAAATATAAGTAAACATTAGATAATTTTAAATTTAAATACATAATACACTTCTGGACACATCTATTGGCCCACCTTGTATTTTCAGTTCCGTTTGGTCCTAACTAAAATTTTATATTAGGTCAAGCAAAAAGTTTTTGTGCAGTTTTGAACTTGGCACATTCAAATTTCATTCATTATTCTTTTTTTGAATTTCGAACACAGAATTTAAAGAAACAAAAGACAATTTGGAGCCTGTTTGTTGATATCAAACAATCGAATACTAAGAATACTTGGTTTTATTGTTTTACTTGGATTTAATTCTTGAGAAAGTGATTGATATCTTTGGTTTTACAACAATCATTACTTATTCTTAACATTAACGTGAGGTTCTATCAATAATCTATGGATACTTCAGCTGAAGTCGTCACCGCCGAAGCTGTGGCACTTATTCAGGCCGGAAACAGCCAAAGAAACGTGAGTGCTTAACTTAATTTAAATCGATCTGCGGTCCGAAATGTTTATCGGAGGTACCTAGAGACTGGCGGCTGTGTTCGTTGCCAAGAAAGGCCACGATTTCGGGTCACAACTGAAAGGCAGGATCGATTCATCGTGACGACCAGCTTGAAAAATCGTCTCCATTGAGATACAAAACCAACTGTGAGCGCTCGAACTGTTCGGAGAAGGTTAAATGAACGCGATATGGTACGACACAAGCCAGCTAATGGGCCCAAACTAACGCGAGTCCACAGAACAGCGCGCCAACTTGAGGTTGTTACAGGACCACGGCTGCCAACATTAAATGCTGAAAGGTACATTCGTGAGTACTTAGAACCTCACGTGATACCATACGTGGACTATGTGGTCCCAAATTTCTTTTTTATGCATAATAAGGTTGACTGTTAGAGAATGCCACTAGGCATTAAGTCCGCCATTGTATACAAGAAGTGTAAATAAATAAATAACATAATGCAAGAGCCCATGCGGGCGGCATCGTCAGGGAATATCTTCGGGATGTGAACATCACAGTTATGGACATGTGAGACGAGCTAAAAAAACGTGTTAGGGCACGTCAGCCAATTGCCCAGACGATGCAGGAGTTGAAAACTGCCATAGAAGAGGAATGGGCGATGATCGAAAATTTTCATAGAGCGGTTGATAAACCCTAACCCTAATCGTATGAGAGCTGTGGTAGATACCCATGGAGGCAACACGCGTTATTAAATTAAACCTTTATTTGATGAAACAAGTTTTTTATTCAAAAATCAATCAATAAATCAATCAATTCAAAAATCAATTGCCTTTAACAAGGCGCATATCCGATTTGTTAGGCGTAGCTCCATGGTATGGTATTCTGAATTCAAATTTAAAACAATACGACTGAAAAAGATGGTAAAATGTATTCAGTTTAAAACTGCATCAACAGTTTTTGTTCAATCTAGCAATCATATTTCGGTAGGGGCCATCGAAACCTAAACTGTAAGGTGGGCCAATAGATGTGTCCAGAAGTGTAATATTAATCTGTCAGCCTTAAGTTGACTCTTGAAATTTTCTTTTTATTGTCAACATTATACAACTTTTTAATAATTATAAAATAAATAAAAAAATAAAAAAGCCTTATATTTCCCAATTAAAAAGAAATATACATTTAAAAAAAAAAACATGTTATTTTATATTAAGTTTAATTTTAGGGAACCCCTGAGGTGAAGGCCTCCTCCAGAGACTGCCATTTTTCTCGATCTTTTGCTGTATCTAGCCAGCGTACTCCAGCCACACGTAGAATTTCGTCATCCCATGGTATGTGCGGTCTTCCTCTTTTTCTTTTTCCTATTGGTCCTGTCCATGTTGGTATTATTTTTGTCCATCTATTGTCTTGTAACCTTGCTACATGACCTGCCCATTTCCACTTTAGTCTAAGTGCATATGAAACTGCTTCAATTGCTTTAGATTTCGCTCTGATTTTTTGTATTTTGTAGCGTGCATGCAGAAAATACCTATAATAAATAATAATAAATTGGAGATGTCCAATGTTGACCTATAGGAGGGATGCCGCAAAACTCCGATCGATCGTCAGATCAAACGTTGCAAGTAGGGATGTATAGGCCATACGCTTCGAAGGGATCCCGACTATATTTCCAAGCAAGTGAAAAAAGGAAGTGTGGCCGCCCTCGGCCAAACCTGGTTTCGTACTGTGATAGCAGAAGTGGCGAGCATCGGAATGACTCGAAACATAAGCTCAAGACCGATCAAGATGGAGAACCTCTGTGGACGCCCTCTGCCCCATCTAGGGAACATAGGACTATAAGTCAAGTAAGTCAAATTAGATTTGTTTTATGTTACAAAGATCATCATCATCATCATCATCATCAACAGCCTATAAATGCCCACTGCTGAGCAAAGCCTCTTCTCACACGGAGAAGGTTAGAGCATTAATCACCACGCTTGCTCAATGCGGGTTGGCGATTTCAAACTTATAATTGGAAATTGTAAGTCCAGGTTTCCTCACGATGTTTTTCCTTCACCGTTTGTCAGTGGTGTCTAAATAATCTTAGAAAGTATATATAACTCGGAAATAGTCACATTGGTACTTGCCGTTGGTAGGTTTCGGACCCGCACCCTCATGCATGAGAAGTGGGCGTCTTAAACCTCCGGGCCACCACGACATTTTTTATATACATCTCATCTTTGTTACAAAGATGAGATGCTTAATTCAATTATTTTTTTTTAATTATTGAAGAAGGTATGACACTTATGACAAGAGACAAGTACCTACTACAAGTATACAGGGTTATTGGTCACCGACATCCTCTCAGGACTATGTTACTTACTAACATCATAATTAACAACTTTTGTTCTATGATTTTTTACAACATGTTAAAAACATTTACCAAAAACAAATCTTGCAGATTTTGTTGTCCTATCTAACATATTTTAACTCTGTATTATGCCGTACCAACATAGCTACGCTTGCCGCGCACTGTCCTATAGTAATAATACTTTTAGGTTAATGACTCGCTTAGCAACGATTCCCACTTTTTTAAGCAAAAGCCAAAGGATACCTAAAATCTGACATTAGATATGGAAATAACCTTGATATTTAGATTATTTATGAAGTTGGTTTCTCACCTTTTAGTCAATAGACTTGATAATGGCGTGCACTAATCGTTGATCAAAGAATGCCACTTTTATGGCAAAATCTTAGGCTATAACTGATATTTTCAATTATGAGGGAAATAATTTATTCAAATTTTACGTCACTACCCCTATAATCATTATACTCTTTGCGTCATACATTGATGCCCCCTATACTTATTATGCTTTTTGATTGATGAACTCAAATCATTATTATGACAGCCAGTTTAGGTGTTTACACATATTATTGTTTTTATTTACTTGTATCATCGGTAGAGGATTGTATGAAATATTGTGAAATAGTTTGAATGTATAACTACTATTTTTATCTATTACTTTTGAACTTCAGCTCTGAGTATTAGATTTAGCTGAAAGTTAGTATTTACATAAAGCGACTGATGTTAGTTGCTCTCCACGACATACTAAGGGCGACACATTATGTATATATTCGTTTGGGTAAATAAAAATAAATCATTATAAAATAATATTCATTTATTACATTAATATCAAACTTTCTAATATGGAATACAATAGTTGTTAACATTTAATTAAGGATACAAAAACATCGCAAACACAGGAGGTCCAACATCGCAAATAGTTTTGTAAGCATGTGGTCATGATCAATTTATTCTCTGATCAGTAACAAGAAGTAATGTCAAACTGATATCGTTTTTTTTATCGCTATGGAAATCCTCATGGACTTCCCACGTCGTGGGGACGACGAGGGGCGTGCTCTTCGAGCGTAAGCCGCGCCGTATCCTCCAAACCACCATCACAGTGATATATCAAATATTGCCCTAACCCATTACACCTTAAAACTAAACATTATAAATATACTCAACAAATTACAATCTAAAACAAATCTATTTACAATACCTCTATAACCTGTTTAAAAACCATTGTTTGTTGATTTGTTTTCCCTAAAATTCTGAGGCCGGCTTGCGAGCGTGTACGACTAGCGACCGATAATTAAAGTTAATACTTTCCTCCTCGGTATTATACTTGGGCACAATATTAATATCTTTTGAAATATTGAAGTAATCTTGCTTGAAATCGTCTATCATATCCTTCGGGATGTTGAATGGGTTGACTGCATGAAGCATTTCTGCAAAATAAACAATAAAGAAACGTTATAGTACTAGTTATAAGGTTTGTGGGGAACTATATTTGGACGGCGATGTATTGATGACATAGAGACTGTAATACATGTCACATCGGTCGATGTAAACTAAATTCTTGTTGTACAGAGAACCCATAAAAGAGTGTAATTTATGTTGGGGCGTGCTGGTTAATCTGGTTAAACTTTTTAATGAAAGGTACTCGTTTACTTGTTCCCAACATTGACTTATTTTTGTTTTTGAACGACAATAATTTCAATAATCAGATGGTTTCAAACTATTGAAGATTGGTTAAAAAAATTATTTAATCAGATTATTATCTGACTAGCTGTTCCCCGCACCTTCGTGCGCGTATAATAATGACGTCTGGCAAACTTTTGAATTTTTTAATAAGTCTTTTCCAAGGTTAATTCCAATAGTGTGTAACAAATCTCATCAGAATTGATTGAGTTATATTTATTGTACAATGTTGTTACTTTTCGTGATTTCAAATAAAACACAATCCCATAGGAATTTTATGCGCACCTATAGTGTTTTTTATACTTGATATGTCTACATTTGGCCACCATCTCGCCTGGTGGTCATAGTATCCATTCCCGTAAGGTTTCAGTGATTAAAACTCCATTTAAATTGGGTACTTTCCTTAATCCATACATACATATAATAAATCTATAGAAAAGTAATTTTTGTACATTGAAGAAATTGACAATAAAATAGCCAGCGTGTTAAAGGATAACTAACAGAAATCATTTCCATTTCCATTTCCCATTTCGTTTAATGTTTGTTTGTGCGCGCATCACGTAAAATCTACGAATTCAATCCAGACAATGCTAATACACACAAATTTTACGCAACTTGAGGTACATATAACTTATATAACTTGAGGTACACTTGAAACAAGAACTTGTTTCATCGAAATCGGTTCAATGTATCAAAAGATATGATTAATTTAGTGTGTTCAAGAAGTAAAATATTACAACACGCAGTTCAGTATAGTACTTGCAACGACATCTTAAGACTAAAAATAGAACTAATGTTGATAGACAAAATCTTTATCCGATAGATGGTGTTGTGCAGTAACATCATTTTCTGAATGGCGGCGTTAAGATTTTCGCGCGAGAATCACCTTCGACCGTGTTTCCTATACCGATTGAGTTTAGTTTGGTGTATTAAAAGTTCTTGAGTGCGTTGTTGGTACCTATCTGGTTCATTGGAAAATTGACGGTGTACAAATTTGGTCGAAAAATTTGGTTTAGTTTGGTCATTGGTTTGAAGTCTGAAGTAAAGATTCTACTTTACATTTAAAACAAGTAAATAGAAGTATTTACTTCTGAGTTTGAATAGTGTCAATCGTTACAGTGGGTGTGTGTAACCAAGTCGCGACCACGAACAGGCGATTCATTATCATACGAGACTGTTTGACGCACCGCTCTTAAAACTTTTGTTGGTTTTGTAAATTGCTTTGATGTTTCCTTGAAAATGCCTCAAAGAAAAAAAAAACAACCTTTTTGTATATGCTCCGGATAATTCCACCGCTAATATAGTATATAGGGAAGCATTAACGTAATCAACTATACCAATATTATAAAATCAACTTATACTACAGTCAGGATCTTTATTGGCAAAAATATACTATACCACCTTGTTGAGTGGAGTTTATATAAATTTTATATGTATAGCCTTTTTTTTAAGGGGGCAAAATCATCGAATGCCTTCGAGTGTCAGACTCTTACTGACTAAAAACCATCCCGTTTCTTCTCTGCGGCTCCGAATCGGCATGAGTCCTATTGGGCCCCATCCGTGGTGGTCTGATGGGTCTTTGAGGTGCGCGCGGAACGCGACGCGCCGGACGCTCGGGTCTGGTTCTGGTCGGGCGGCGAGCCACCCATGCTCGCCGTCCACAGGCCCGCGCTTACGGTGGCCGGATATCGCGGATCGATCCGCGACTCCCGGAGTGTCCTTCACGATGGCTGGGTTGTGAAAAGGCAGCGCTTCGCTGCCTCCTCCTTAGCCAGCATGACTGCTTCGCAAAAAGAGGAAAGGGCATCCCAGTCCCCTTCTCTCCGCATCATGACCCGCAATACGGTTTTCGTAATTGCCTCAGCCGGTATTGGAATACTTGTTGTCAGCATTTCGAGCGACGTCCAGTTTTGCGGTCATCTAGAGGATAAGGCCAAATTAGCCTCGAGGAAGCTTGGTGTGCTCAATAGATCGAGGCAGTATTTCACCCCGGCCCACCGCCTGCTTCTTTATAAGGCGCAGGTTCGGCCCCACATGGTATTTGGGCGGGGGCATCCCAGTTCCGACTTCTTCCTCTGGACCGCATTCAGCGGCGTGCCGTTCGGATTGATGGATGTCGGGACGTTTCAAACCGGCTGAACACTTTGGCAATGCGTAGAGATGATGATGAGATGATGCATTTTCTATCGTTTATACCACGGAGAGTGCTTTGAGGAATTGTTTGACCTGATACCTGCCGCATCTTTTTGCCATCGACCCTCACGCCAACGTATGCATCCCCATAATATAGATGGTTGGCAGGCAACTGTGCGCTTCTCACATAGCTTCCTGCCTCGCACAGCAAAACTGTGGAATTATCTGTCGTCGGCGGTATTTCCGAACCGATACGACCTTCAAACCTTTAAGAAAAGAGCGTACTCCTTTTTAAAAGGCCGGCAACGCGCCTGTGACTCCTCTGGTGTTGCGGGTGTCCATGGGCGGCGCTGATCGCTTACCATCAGGTGATCCATATGCTCGTTTGCCTCCTATTCCATAAAAAAAAACTAGAGACGGAGAGGTCGCCATCGCCGATCACGTCCCTGAGGGCAAAGTGGTGCTCAGTCCACGCAGGGCATTCCCCCACTGTGTGTTCCACCGTGTCCTCAGCGCGGTCCTCGCAGTGATGACACCCGGGCGTTTCCTCCCGCCCTATCATACACAGGTACCTCCCGGAACTTCCATTCATTTCCATGAACGGTGAGGACCTGCGTCACGCGGTAGGTGAGGACGCCGTAGCGTCTCTTAAGCCACGCCTCAAAGGGGGGACTTACCGCTGCAATGGCAGCGAACCCAGCCCTCGGTTACGACAGTCGTTGCTGCCATTCCGCCATGAGATCGCGCTGGAGCTCTCCCCGCCACGAACTTATCTGGCGCGGCAGCGGAGTTTCGCTCCGGCGACACGTGTCTCCGCGCGCATGCGATACACGCGCGCGAGCACCTTCGCCTCCAGATCCCACGGCGGTAATCCAGCAAGGAGGTTCGCCGCCTCCCCGGAGATAGTGCGGTATCCGCGGATCATTTGGATCGCCATGATCGTCTGTGACATGAGCTGCGCCCGAGCGGGCTGCCGCATCAGGTTCGGCGCCCAAACAGGGGCGCCGTAGAGGGCCGTGGACCGCACGACCCCGGCGTATAACCTCCGGTAGGTGGCGTTTGGCCCCCTGAGGTTGGGTAGGATTCGCTTAAACGTGGCCCCCGTCCTCTCCAACTTTGGAGCCAAACGTGCTCCACGAAGTTCCACCGACTGTCGAGGACGAGTCCCATGTACTCCATCGTTGTCTCGACGCCGATGGTAACCCCTACCGCCGTTATTTGGGACTCATCCGGAGGTGGCGCGTTCCCGCGGCCATGAAAGCACATGACCTCGGACTTGTGTAGCGCCACCTCGAGTCCCAACTCCGGATTCTTTCAACGACTGTCGCAACCGCTGACGCCGTTAAATCGGCCGCCGCCTGGTGCGACCTCCCATGCGCTAGCACCAGCGTGTCGTCGGCGTAGCAGATGATGCTAACGCCGCTCGGGCACCCAGTCATAGCCGATGTTCGACAGGAGCGGCCCCGGAACCGATCCCTGCGGAACACCGCGTGACATTTCTCGCCGGTTCCACTCGCCCCGGTGACAACATTTATTCATACTAGAGAACCAATTTCACTATGACTTTAGGCCCAAATTAGCTTAAACTAAATTTGAACAAATAAAATCGATACTAACTCCAAAAACCTTCGAAGTTGTTGAAAATATACGACAAATTTTTGCATTCCACCTTGTAGTCCACGTATCCCACTTTTTCCAATATTTTCCTTATTTCTTGCTCTGGGTCCTGAAAATAGAAATAAAGTTATTTATGGTTTAATTAATAGGTCAAGGCAAATAATCAATGTCATTACTCTCGAATAAAACACTGGACATAAAGGAATAGGTAAACATGTTATTTAAAACGTCAATATTCGGTAGTAGGTTAGAAGCACCCAAAGAGTATAATAAGTATAGGGGTAGAAGCACCGGATTCTAACCTATCAGTGGGGGTGTAAGCTATAAGTACGTATGCTTAATAGTAGTTATTTTTTTCTTTTTAATTTTCGTTTGTTTTTAGTGTTTGAAGTCGGTCTTTTTAAACGGAGATTTTTATTTTTTACTTTTTAGTTTAGTACTAGAATATATTACATTATGTACAACCCACATCGGTGCATAGTTTTCATCAATACATATTATTCAAGTTCAAACACCAGGTAGCTACTGTTAACTATTGTTCTCTTAGCTATCATACTTCTTCATCATCAGACCCTTATTGACGATCACACCACACCTAGGTATAAAGTTCTCATCAATACAAATTAATCAAACCCAAACACAAGATATGATATGAGCGTATGCCACCGACTTCTTACCTATCAGTGGGTGGGTAACCTATCTGTACTAATATTTTGCCATAATACTTTGGTGTACAATTGATACCAATTAAAAAACTGAGACTAGTATAGTTACCTGTGAGTCGTGGTATGGCGATATGTATTTCTCGGCGTCTTTAAGCAGAGTGCTCCATTTGTTGTTACGCGATTGAGCGCGGTACATGTCGTACAGGGGTGCGTTTGCGAGGAATATCGTGAAGCATTCTCCATCTTTACTCAGTAAATCGTAAATATTTCTGAATATGCGCCTGAAACAGTACAAATGTAATGTTAATCACATGAGTAACTTCTGAGACTTGATTGGCAATTCAGTATAGAGGCTGATGGGGGCATGATAATGGTTACAGTCGTGACTGATCTCAAGATCAATAAGGGATCTCAGGTTTAATCACACAAAACAACGAATATATTTTTCATTTTCCAAAATTACTAAATTCCTTTTTAAATTCTTACCTATCAAAGATTCGTATTAGGTACATACATATATGACTTAATACAACTTTCAAAAATTGGAGTTCAATATAAATGTGATTTTATACCTTTGCCCAACCTTTCGAGGAATAAGAGCAATTTTAGACTTAATTAGAAATGTGAAATTGCATACATATTTAACAATTTGGCGTAGAGGCCAGTACCCTAAATCAAGCGGTTTAATGTGTGTATGTCCAGAATAGGAGGTATGCGCGTTACAGCCCTATCTTATTAAATCTTAACACCACGGTCACACGAGCCATCTTGCATCCCTGGTATCATTAGTGAACACTTGGGTTGTTTCTATCGCTGACAACCAGTTGGTTGGAAGCAAACAGGTTGAAAAACAACTGAAAAAAATTGCGTCGCTCATAGTAAGTGCGGTGCTGGCCTTTTGAGGATTTAGGATTTAGGGACAGACCAAAATTAAAAAAATCATTGCTTGGGTTCTATTGCGTATATAAAGTTCCCCTAAAAAGTTTTTCTTATTTATCTTCCATGTACAGACATCGACCTTTTACAATTATATTATATGTATATTGATTAAGTTGATCTTTAAGAATAATTACTAATTCAAGTTATGTAAAACGAAGCTTTACACTATAATAAAAATAATGGATTCCTATCAAGTCTCGTGGCACTACACATCGGTCTGTTTACGCTGTATAAAGGAAAATGCAAAGTTTTATTATGATCTAACTACTGCAGCCTAAATTTATTTATTGCAAGTCGTAAAAGGTATGGACAGAATTCTCACTATGCTAGCAATTTTAAAGTAATATTGCTAGCAATTTTAAAGTAATATTGCTAGCAATTTTAAAGTAATATTCTTTAAAATTGCCAGCAATTACGTTTGATTGTATCATTTATGCGTTATAATAGTTATTATTATGTCATTGTTATACAACGATTCTTATTTATTAAACAAAAAAAGAGAGTGCATTACCTATTCCAGATTTTCCAATCAATAGATAATTCTTATCTGTAAAATAAAATTGACATTCGATAGTTTTTAGTAGGGAAGAATTGTCAAATATATAAAATTATTACCCCAACATTTATGAGGCGTTGAAAAAATCAGTCCTAACATCAAATAAAAAGGCGTACACACGGTCAGCAACATAAAATAAATTGTCGAAATACTTACATTAAAAAATGTTTAGAGGAAATAATTGAACAATATCACTTACTCTTGATCCAAGACCCAGTGCAAGGCGTAGGAGGAGAAAACATGATCGAATTTTCCCTTCATGCCTTCGGGAATATCTCCTGCGATGTCCAGCACTGTGAACGAGGTCTGTTCATTGCAATGGTGGTCATTGGCGAAGTTCACCATGTTCTCACTGATGTCACAGCCGAGCAGCTTGAAGTCAGTAGGGATGTACTTCTTCAGCATGCTGGTGACACTTCCATCTCCACATCCAATGTCCAGAACGTTGCTGATACTCTTCTTCCACTTTAGTTTAGGGGAGATGTCGTCTAAAAAGTTGAGTGCATCCCTCTTCGAGATGAAGTTAGTTTGCTCGAATAAAGCGGGGTTATTCATGGTTGATTTTTTGAAGATTTTCTGTTAACTGGAAAAGGTTGTTTGTGTTATTTTCTTTGAGTGCGCGTACGCGTGGTTGAGTGGAGCGCGGTTTCGGCGGACAGTCGCTACAGAAGCGAGGCAGTGCGCATTTATACGTGTCTCGATCTCGTCTCACCAAAATATCCGTGGAAGCAAGGGATTAGCTTCTGCCCGTGACTTCGAACGCGAAATCCCGTTTTCTCCAGTTCCCGTAAGATGTTCAGGATTTTTAAAGTCATAAGAACCTTCTCCTAATAATAACAAATACAATAAAGGATTAGTGAAATCTGTTCAGCCATTCACTCGTGACCTGACCGGTAATACTTTACAGATTTTTAATTTATAGTAATCATTTTTATATTTACTTTTAGTTTTTTTATCAACTACTAATTTTAGGATTTGTATTGTATTTGAACCTAATTTGTAAGTTTCCTAATTTTTTCATGTTGGTTTTGAATGTAAGCCCATAGCAATCAAGAGCATCCATCACAGACTCCACCATACATTTATACAATACTCTTAATGTACTTCTAGGAACTCGATAACTTAGGTGGTAAAATTTACTTAATATAGTTCTAAGTTTATTGCACAAGTAATTTACATGTTCAATTCAGGAAAAGAGCTCGTCAACTTTGATCCATAGGTAGGTCACATTATTTACTCTCTGGATAGGTTTGCAGCCGCAGTTGTCAGTGTTTCTATGAGTGCAGTCAAAAGTTTGAGTGTATATTGGTAAAGGAGATTCCTTCAAAGGTGAGTACTGCGAGTATATAATTAAATATTGTGCTTTCTTCGTATTAAGTACTATTCCGTTGTCATGAGACCATTTAAGTACAGCATCCACGTCTTGTCTTGTTGGACTACTCGGCATGGTTCAGCGATGTCAGTACCGGCTCGCAAGGCGCAGAGGTCATCCGCGAACATGTGCAATGTTGAAGGACATTACACAGGCTTTAAATAACATACGGGACCACTCCCTGATCCCTGTGGAACCCCACATCGGACTATTTTTTCGTCACTGAACGTGTCGCTAACCTTGACCCGGTAAGAGCGTGAGGTGAGGTAGTCTCTGAACCATTCTTTCAGTGGCTTCTCCACACCACAGTCTTCCATGTCGTCGGAACTACGCCTGAAGAGTAAGAGAGCCGAAAAAGACGTGTTAGAACTGGTGCCAACTCAGGAGCGCATATCTTCAAAACAATGGGTGAGATCCCATCAGGCCTGCTCGACTTATGGACATGAAGGGATAAGAGCGCCAAACGTACCGTGCGCTGGTGGAACCGTATATCCAGCATATAACTTCCGTACCCCGGCACAACAGGCGGCTCGCACCCACCGTCATCCAGTGTCGAGTTGAAAGCAAAGATTTCCCCCAAAAGTTGAGCTTTATCCCTTGCGTCATGAGCCAACGAATCCTCACCCATGTGCAGAGGTGGAAATGATAGCCTGCAGAAATTGCCCTCGATAGCTTTGGCGAGCGACCAGAATGCACGGGTTCCTGAAGGAAGGCGCTCAAGTTTCTCACTAATTCTACCGAAGGACTTGGAGGCAAAGTTATACTCCTTTTTTAGTGTGCAGGTATTTACATCCCGTGCCACCACCGCATCAGCCCAGGCTTGGTAGGCCCCCCGCTTTCTGCATGAGGCCTTTCTGGTAGAAGCACCAAACCAGGGTTAACATCTGCCACCGACGGGAGAGAAAATGGGACGAAAATCTCCATCACCTGCAACACCACATCAGCACCACAATTGGCAGCGATGTTGGGATCATCCTGCAAGAAGCAAACCCGCCTCCAAGGGTAGGATGCAAAAAAGGACAGCATCTCATCCCAGTATGTCAACCTAGAGCTATAGTGCTATACACGGCGACCGCGCACCTGTTATAGTCGCGATGAGCACGTCCGATGAGCCAAGAGGGGCATCAACGGTTTCGCTGTAGCTGTCCGGGTGAGAGATCAGCAGAACGTCCAACAGTGAAAACCTCTGGCCCTCAACATCTGGGATTCGCGTGGGCGCGGTCACCAGTTGTGTCGGCCAAAAGTAAGGTCAAAGTCGTGGACAGATCTCCCTGCGTGGAAAGTCTTACTAGAGCAAAGCCAGTCAGCGTGATGGGCGTTGAAATCACCAAGCAAAACTACTTCGGCTGAGGGTTTCTGCCTCTGCACAAGATCTGCAGCCGTCTGTATGTGGTCCATGAGTCGGTCAGTCTCGCTATCACCGCTGTGGGATCTATATAGGCACGCATAGACACGGGGGGTCGTCGTCATTATCTACACGCAGCCATAAGATGGACAGGTCCCTACCTTCAAGATTACTGAGGCGACGAGAGCTGATATCGTCCCTGATGTACACGCATACCCCGGCCCTAGTCAGGAAGGAATGTTTCAGTCCATACCCAGGGTAGGTTAGGTAGGATGTGTCCAATGATAACGATATCTGCGTCTCAGTCAAAAATAGCAAGGCCGGCTTTGCTGTCTCTAGGTGGTGATGGACAGCATTGAGGTTGGTTTTTTCTTGTGTTTTAGTTAAACTAAATGCACTTTAAAACCGTTTATTTGTCACAGGGATACAAGCACAAATGTCTAAATCATACAAGAGCCTATTCAAATGACATTATTTAAGCACACACTTAAACATCAAAGTTTTCTTTTTGTAAACAGCTATGATTTGAGATTCGAGATGTTTTTGTGAAAATAAGTCTATTTCATTATCATATTCAAATAGAAACTATTCTGAATCTGATGTATGGATTTATTTCTTGTACGGATATGTGTCTTTGGGCCAAGTTTCTTCAATATATTTGAACATAGTAACCATAATCTGCTCCTCAGAAGTCGAAAGAGGGGGACCTCTAAGAGGTCCCCTTTTAGAGCGTTTTTTCTTTGGTGATGTGCGGAGCTTGCCCGGCTAGTACCAGGCTGAGGTTCACTCATTTTATGATAAAATACGAATTTAAAAACAATTAACGTAGAAACCAACACTAAAATAACTAAGTAACAAAAACAAAACAAAGAAACAAGATAAATTCAACAAAATGGGAACGTGAGCGCAAACGACGAGAAAGCTGTTAATGGCGCCTGATTAACCGACTAATGCCGGAATACTGAAACGTTAGTCAATTTTAAGTCGTGCTCAAATATGTATTTTAAATTATTATGTAGAGCAACTGTTAATTTACGGAAATTATATTTTAAAGATCTGATATTTAAGTGAACTATGTATACATAAATGATTTTTATGTTTTATGGATGATATCCACATTTCTAAATTTTCTACTTCTACTGATGTAACTGTATTATTAGTGATTATATCGATATTGTTTACGGATGTGAATTTTAATACGATTTTAGATTATTAAATACGTGAATGTTATGAGTAATTATAAGCAGGTAAATACAAGAGTGAGAATATAAACTAATTACATAATCCTAGATAGGTACCTATGTTTATGTTTTGAGCAGATCGTTGACGTCACCATCAGATCTTAATCTTACCTAAATTAGTGAGGTCTTCATTAATATATAGGTACTTTGTTATTTGTTACCTACCACCGATTATTTTGCCACTCGTTACACCCATGAACTTCAACGTTGAGCCAGCCAGGCGTCACGTGATTCGGTTCCAGAAGATTTTAATGCTACGATTATTGAAACCATTTTAACTTCTTGTTTTCTAGGTTGGTTTCTCCTCACAAAATCGATATCATCACTACTTACGTTCATCATCTTTCCAATCTTCATAACTACTTCTTTCACATTTTCTTCCGGCATCTGTTCTATACCTACAATAGGGTAGATGCCTAATTTTTATTTTAATGTCCGTCTGGTAAATTATTTTAAATTATTAGGCACGTATTTTTTATTTTCTAACAGAAACGAATACTTTCTTCTTTCTTCTACGTAGGTACATTTTATACGTAGAAATGACGTTTTAGCCCCCACTCCTAAACTTTGATTCGTTTTATCAAAGTATTGTTTTATTATACTACAAAATAAAAAAAAATACGTGTCTAATATTTTTATTACCTACCTAACTTTTTAATTAGATTTTTAATTTTCATACCCTGTCATCATCCCAATTAAGTGTGGGAGACCCATGCTTCGGCACGAATGGGTTGGCTCGACCGGAGCGATACCACGGTCTCACAGAAAACCGACGTGAAGCAACGCTTGCGTTGTGATTCGTCGAGTGAGTGAGGTTACCGGAGGCCCAATTACCCTCCCCTTCCCCAATCTCCCCAATCCCTGAATCCCCAACGATCCTCAAAATCCTAATCCCCAAAAAGCCGGTAACGCACTTGTAACGCCTCTGGTGTTCCTGGTATCCATGGGCGACGCCGATTGCTTACCATCAGGTGATCCGTCTGCTCGTTTAACGGCTTATGCCAAAAAAAAAGTCGATGTTATGATAACGTGAAGACTGCTCAAAGTCCTGTAGACGATGTATAGATTTTACTTAATAATAATCAATATTTAAATGTCACGTTAAACGTTTATGTAAATACTCTAGCTGAGTAATTATGTTTCAATCTGCACGGTTGCAATGTACGGTTGGCGCGGTGACTAGGAAACCGGCTGCCGCGCAACGTGTAGCGGGTTTGATTTCCGCACGGAGCAAATCATTGTGTGATCCACAAATTGTTGTTTCGGTTCTGGGTGTTATGTGTACGTATGTGAACTTCTATGTTTCTAAATGCATCCACGACACAGGATAAAAACCTAGTGTGGGGCAAAAAAAGTTGTTTAAATATCTTTATGTCTTACTGGCAAAATATTGTAGAATTTCTTAAGGAATCCAAAATATATTTATTCAGGTTACTAATATCAAACATTTTTATACATAATTTAGTGGCTAATGAATTTTTTAATATCTTCAAATTTCTAAATGTAAGTTGTCTAAATCTTATTTGAATTTTTGGTAGAGGCAAATAAGAGCTATACGCAACCATTAATCCATAGTGGCAAGCAACTTATAATATGTTTTTCTTTGTGTTTACAATTACAGAAGACATTATTAATGCAGGTGGCGGTAGAGGATGTTATCTAAATAAACAATTTTTTATATTATGTAATTGAATTAAATAAAATTGTACAATGGCATAATCTACACTTCTGCCTACCCCTTCGGGGATAAAAGGCGTGATGTTATGGAAATAAATATAACAATTCCATGCTGCTTGTATTATCTATTCTATACATAGGTATAATAAATATGTAGAAAAGTAATTTTTGTATATACATTGAAGAAATTGACAAAAAAATAGCCAGCGTGTTAAAGGATAACTAACAGAACCCATTTCTATAATTTTTGACATTTTTGTTGTATATGTTTGTTTGTGCTCGCATCACGTAAAATCTATGAATTCAATGCAGACAATGCTTATATACAAAGATTCTACGCAACTTGAAGTATAACTTAGTTTTTGTTTCATCGAAATCGGTTCACTCTATCAGAAGATATGATTAATTCACTAAGAGTTCAAGAAGTAAAATATTACAACACGTAATTCAGTATAGTACTTGCAACGACACCTTAAGACTAAATATACGGTCGAATTGAAAACCTCCTCCTTTTTTTGAAGTCGGTTAAAAATGGAATTAATTATTGATACCTAGTTGAAATGTTTATCCGATCGATGGCGTTGGGCAGATATATTTTTAAGGGGGAAAATCGTCGATTGACTCCTTCTATCGCATGCATGAGGCGGGAGGGATTATCAGACTTTTACTGACTAAAAACCACCCCGTTCCTACTCCTGTACTTCGAGCTGGAGCCCCGGTAACCCGTAAAGTTCTCCGCGGCTCGAAAGTAGTTTTTTATTTGATAATAACGTAAGTTTGTGAGGATGTATGTGAGTATGAGATATTAGTAGGATTAGGCTAAATAATGAAATGCAGATTATTTAAATACAGCTATAAAAATATCAATGTGACAATTATCAGTTTTCTAGCATTTGCAAAATGTCTAGTGGAACAAGTTTTGTAGCATTTCCAAAAGATCAAGGGTAGCGCGCAACTCACAGACGCGCAGCATAGATTTCGGCCAACTAGAAACACCATGAGCAACCTACTTTGTTACATGGCAGACGTGGTACCAACAGTGAACAGTGGGGATTCGATTGATAATGACGCTTTCTTAAAAAAATGGCTGCAGTTTGTTTCACTCCACTATTTATTGCGAGTTACATGAGTGGCAGGCAACAGTATGTTGCCTACGCAAGGCATGAATCGAACGTTTACTACACTAGGTTGGGAGTAAGCCAAGGAACAAACCTAGGTCCACTAGAGTTTCTCTTAATTGTTAATGAATTGTCGAACGTTGTGAGGGATGCTGAATGCTTACTGTTTGCCGACGACTTAAGCTTTACCTCCCCATCACAAACGTGAATGACTGCAAAAGGCTGCAGAGCGATATAGACCGAGTAGTTGCTTGAAGTAAATGTAATTTCCTGCAGTTTAAGACGTTTAAGTGTGTAACCATAAGTTTCTCACGCGCACACTCATTCATCATACATACCTATACGGTGGATGAGGTACCGTTGGATAGCGGTCATGGAGATTAAGCATATCGAAATCTAGGGTTCGTACTTAGATTGGTTAGAGGCTTCACTATGATGAGAGCTATAACGATGCTATATATTGCCGTAGTAAGAAGTCAGCTTAAGTGCAATGCAGTGATCTGGGCTCCACATGAAACTACGTATAGTCTCATGCTTAAGCGAGTACAGAACAAATTCATAAGATATAGGTATATGAGGGAGTTCGGGGTATATCCATATTATCCATTCTACCCATTAATGTGTCTAACTCTGTTTGTCTTGGGTACGTCGGATATAATGAATTGCAGATGAGACGGCAACTCGCATTGGTGACTTATATCTTTAGGATAATTAAGGGGAAGATACATAATCCGGATATATTGCGAAGGGTTGAACTGATCGTGCCCGATGGATACGTGGTTCGTCGTCGCTAGCCGCGGTTACTAGCAGATCCACGTTCGTGAACTTGATGCGAAAGGCGCCGCGCATGTGGGCGCTCCGCACTCTCAAGCGTCTCATGTGTCATTAAAGACTATAACTATAACCCTGTGGCAAATTTTGTTATATCCTTTCAGCAGTTTTTTCATTAAAGAGTAAAAAACAAACACACCAAGAATCTTACAAACATTGACATATTAAAAATATTAGAAAGACATTTAGGTTATACATGTGGAATAGAAACAGCACTACAAAACACAAAATTATTCAGAATTTTATTTTTATTAAGGGTAGGAAAAAAATGACAATATAAAACTTATATTAAATGCTTTAATGGTCCAAAGGAAAATATGGAATATGTAAGTATTTAAGTACTTACTTATCTACCGTGAATAAGTTACCTACATACTGCGTAATCGTTTAATTCACATTTTAATTTCACTCGAGATTCATAAACATTTACAAGAAGATATATAATATAGGTAAAATTACTTTTTCTAGGTCACCACAAGTTATTTTTGTAGAAAATGAACTTAATAAGTATTATACAAAACATTTATACCATACAAATTGGAGTGTCTGTTTAATACGATACACGTACCAAAATCTGTCTGTCTGTATTATAGCTAATCTTTGGAATGGCCGAACTGATTTTGACGTGACTTTTACTGGCAGATAACTGATGTACTGAGGTGTAAAATAGGCTACTTTTATTTTGAAAAATTGAAACAAAAAATCGTTAATGTTCTAAAATTCATATTCTATGCGGACGAAGTCACGGGCAACAGCTAGTTTATACTAGGATTTAGTTTTTAAATGATCTTCATTCCCTGAACAGTACAAGAACCAATCTCAAACTGTTATCGAATATTGCCTTAACCCTAAACAATATAAATATACTTAACTAATTACTATATCTAAAACAAATCTATTTACAATATAACCAGTTTAAACACCATTGTTTGTTGATTTGTTTTTCCCTAAAATTCTGAGGCTGGCTTGCGAGCGTGTACGGCTAGCAACCGATATTTATAGTTAAAACTTGCCTCCTCGGTATTATACTTGGGCACAATATTAATATCTTTTAAAATATTGAAGTAATCTTGCTTGAAATCTTCTTCCATATTCTTCGGGATCTTGAATGGGGTGACTGCTTGAAGGCCTTCTGCAAAACAAACAATAAAGGAACGTTATAGTAAGAAGTTTGTGGGGAACTATATCTGGACGGCGATGTATTGATGACGTAGAGACTGTAATACATGTCACATCGGTCGATGTAAACTAAATTCTTGTTGTACAGAGAACCCATAAAAGAGTATAATTTATGTTGGGGCGAAGTTTGTTTTCATTGGTGATCAATCTGGATACACTTTTTAATTGAAGGGATTCGATTACTTGTTCCCAACATTGACTTACTTTTGTTTTTGTACGACAATAATTTCAATAATCAGATTGCTTTAAACTAGTGAAGTTTGCTTCAAAAAATTATTTAATCAGATTATTATTTGATTTTACTGCCACGTTGGCAAAATGGTCGCAAGTGCGACTGCCGGGCAAGGGGTCTCGGGTTCGATTCCCGGGTCGGGCAAAGTATTACTGGGTTTTTATAAATCTCAGTAGTAGCACAGAGTCTGGAAATATACCCGGTATATCGTAATAGGCTCACCCCCTATTACATAGGACTCATAACATAAATAGTGAAAAGTGGGTGTTACATTGTACAGTGGCATTAAGTGCCAAAATGTGCACCTTTGCCTACCCCTTAGGGGATAAAAAGGCGTGATGTTATGTTATTATTATTTGACTAGCTCTTCCCCGCGTCTTCGTGCGCGTATAAAAATGACTTCTGGCAAATTTTTCACACATCGGGTTACATTATCTTAATTTTTAAACGGTTCCATTTTTCTCTCTTATTAAATATAGCATATAGTAATAATCGATCGAGTGTAAGTTGGTAGTTTCGGAGCCTATTCAATTCAAACAAACAAACAATAAGTCTAATCTTTCCTCTTTATACTATTGGTGTAGATTAAATAATCAAATAATATCAAATCAAATCAGATTAAACCAAAACAGATCAAATCAGATTAAATCAAATCAAAGATCAAATCAGATTAAATCAGGGTACACAAGGTTACAAAACCGGGTGCTCTATGATACCATTGCACCAATCTGTCGCCAGAACCGCTACCCATTGACAATGATAAATTGCCACTTGGAAAACGTGGTGTTAACCTTCAATAGCCAAGTCAACCACATTAACTATAATAATAAAGAAATCGACAAACTTTAGACTTTGCACGACTTTGTTATATTTCATTACTTTTAAGAGATAAACTAGCAGCTCCATCGAGACTTGGCTAGTTTTTTACAGAATGTTTTTGATGGGATTTCACTTCTTTTTGTAGAATGCGGGTATTGCCTTCACTCTTAGTCCAATGCATTATATTTTGACCAAATTTTTTGTGAAATTAATATTTCAGTATAATTTGTTTGTTTAATCTAATCAGGATCACCAGTTACTCCAGATCTTCAATTATCCTAGTTTTTATAGTTTTCCCTTTAAGTGGGCAAAAAACCCTAACTTTGTGCCAAATTTCAGCTCTCTGAGGTTATGGGA